GGGCGCCAATGAGGTCCCAGTCGGCGCTAAACCACGTCACAAGTCCATTGGCGTCGAACTCGAAGCGGTACTGGACTGGTACCACCAACATAGCGCCAATGACTTTTTGTAACAGATCCATGTTATGACGCAGTGACGGATAGAGTGCCAGCACACCGTCTTTACGGCAGCTGATGTGGAAGTTTGTGTCCATGACGACGACCGTAGAGTCCGCCAAGGTGGACACATTCATGGAGAGGGGCTCGTACCGGCTATAGACGAAGAAGTCGCTGAAGCGCTTCCAGAGCATGATGACAGTTTCAACGCCGGCGTAGTCCGGGCCGACCGTGTCTGCGGTCATAATGGAGCGAAGGAACTGCTCCTGTTGCGGCAACTTGTGTGGCGAGATGCCGTACTCAAAGAGCCGGAAATATTCCATAGTAAGGCGAGCAGGCACTCCCGTGTCGGTGCCTCGGGAGCTGAAGCAGTTGCTTTCCACAAGCAACTTTTGCCGCTTGTGGTTGAGCTGTTCGATCTCGGCCAGGAGGTGCTGCATGTCGTGGGTGAGCGTGACCATTTTCTCTTTTTGCTTGGCTCGGTGGCGACGCTGGTGGAATTTGTACTGTTGACGTCGACGCAGCACTTTTTCGTCCGCGTCTTCCTCTTGTGGGCGTTTGGGGCGAGAGGGCGGTTTGCCACGAGCGGAGGAGTGCACGACAGCCACAACACCGGCGACTGCTGCCATCGTTTTAGTTGTTTTGCGGGTTGTTGACTGGCGATGTTCCTCCGAGACGGTGAGAGGCGAAATGAACGTGTTCACAGTCCAGGCGACGCGAATGGCAAACGTGTTGTGCTGGTCTGCTGTCGGTTGTTGAATGCTGTCCCAATTGTGTGGGGAGCTTGACTCAATCTTTGAGAATGGATAGCCGCACGCTATCGACGATGGGGCTGGGTTTTATTGGTACATGTAGTCCTTACTGAAATCGAGATGAATCTGCGCCTCGAATTCGTTAGGGATCGAAAAAGCTGTGATCAGCGCCGTTACTGTTGGACTAGGAAACGTACCTCTGTACGAGAGACCCTCGAAGTTTATTACACTTGCCTTTTATAAGCGAGTTTACCTAAGACTTTTGTTCGTTCTCACGAATTTGCTAACTACCGGTACTTACAAAAGTACCTGGTAAAAGCTATTAATACTGAAGGGTTTTTACAACAAAACTTGAGGACGCTACAATTTGAGGGTATTACAAAAAATGACATAAAAAAGACCTAAAATGTTAATAGTGGAAGTTTCGAGTCATTTAAACCGAGGACTGCAACTAACTGCTCTCCTTTGATCACCATCGCATGGAGAGAGGATTGCGAGCGAAGCCGCAACCAGCTGCAAAACTGTCGACTCGTAGAGAATTCGTTTGGCAGCCAGCAGGAAATTCGCGACAGTCCGTGTAACAGGCCAGTTGTTGCTGGTCAGTGGCGGCTTCTGAATGAGTCAATGACTCCAGTGAGTCAGGGAAACGCCTCCACGCTTTCCTAATAAAGTCCGTTGGGCATTCAAGCTGAGCTAAAAAAAATGTTATCTTTGTGAAATGATTTACTACTGTACAACCGCAAATTTTCGGGTCTCACGCTGCCCTGCATGCCTCTCTTGCTCGGGCGTCATCGCGGCTACAAAGACCATACGTCTCACAGCCACGGTACTGTATGTACTTCCACCATCCGCTCAGAAATGATCTCGAGGCACGATCTGGGCGTTGTGTGGAGGGGTCGGCGAACTCTGTGAACTTGTTGGCAATAGTCTCCTGTTAGCAACAAACAGAAGCTGCTGCGATGCATGATACATATAGGGCATTGACTACATGAACAATACACACTTTGTTTGCTTCGACTTGGGCGCAATCGTCTGCGCGATGACGAGACAGAAGTACATTTACTTTGAAGTTGGACCGACGAATCTCACGGCGGACGCTTTCGGTGCGCAAGAAACCGCACCGAAAGGAGGCAGTGCCCGGTCTTCGTACGTTCGTCATTCGGTGTGCCCCTTTTATCAAGGGGACCATGCTGCTTGCACGAAGTCCACAAGGTTAGGGAAACCGTACATGTACAGCATGGCAAAGCCGCTGGCAAAATTTCATCGTCGTCGGAGTGCTTTGCGTTCTGGTCCTCTTAGTGTTGGCAAGTGGGGCTGTGCCTGAGTGGCGTACAGTATTTTGTTTGGCGGCGTCTTGGTTGACTCAAAGATGGACGAATTATGTGTGTACGGTACTGTATCGGCCACTGACTCATCGAGTGCAAAAAACTTTTTGCACTCGATGAAAAATGGCAAACTTTCCCTTTTTGCCAAAAAGGGAAAGTTTGCCATTTTTCCGAAGCAAAGCCCCGCGTGGAAGACTCACCCACAGTATCCCAGCGGATATGCTCTTGACTCACATAGGAACTGTATTGGCGGTCTTTGTTGGTGCTGGCTCGCTTTGCAAGGCACGCGCTCTCACATTTGTAACATTTCGGTCAACTTCGGTTTGGTGTGCGCCTCCACGCTGACTCCCATCGTCGCGATGAGTCAGTTCGCCTAAAAAAACAAAAAAACAAAAAAACAACGGAGGCGGCAGTCAAGTCGCACCTTCACCAAGCAAGAGAGCCGTTTGTTGCCACAGAGAGCTCTTGATGTGCATCCGTATCCAAAGAAATCCCAATCTTTTCATTTTTCGAATAATTATTCTACGAGTTGCTTCTATTTGTCTAGAAGTTAAACGAGTTTCTTCTAAAACCTTAATTGCATATTTACCATAAATAATATTATTACCTTTTGTTGTTTTACCT